AAATGTTTTACATAATAAATTGAAGAAGTGTTAAAGTAAGGGGGAGTAATTTCAAAACTTGATTTCAAAAATCTTAAAATTACTAAAATGTTTTGTTATATCAAAAAGGGGGAGATTGTTGAAACATTTTGATATTTCGATATAACAAATTAAGTTAAATGGATTTTAAGATTTTCCAAATGATTTTCTAAGTATATTCGATATAACTATTCGAATATCAAAACATTACTCCAAATATTTCAAAAATCATTTTTAATCCTTACTTAAGTGTAAAATTAAGTTTTAATCATAAAACAATTTCAAAATAATCTTACAAAGTATTTCGAACCAATTCAAAGTCAAAAATTATAGATTGCTCAGAGGGAACCGATTCCCCCCCCCCCATATGAGGAATCGGTCCCCCCTAAATGGTTTTGGCCCCGAGATTTCCAGAATGCTCGGAGGGAACCGATTCCCCCCATAGGAGGAACCGATTCCCCCCTAAACAGTTTTGCTCCGAGAATTCCAGTATGCTCGGAGGGAACCGATTCCCCCCTTGTACAACGGTCGAAATATTTGAATTTTACACTTAGGAACCGATTCCCTTCAAGAGGGAACCGATTCCCCCCCCCCCCACGCTCCAAGCTGTTTTATTAAATGTTTTCACACTAAAACGGCTATAATATCTTCTCTAATCATCCCCAACGTTCAGAAGTGATCCAAGGTGTATTTAAGCAAGCTTAGAAGCCATTGATCAACAACAAGAAACATCAAGCAACTAGAATCAAGAGAGAATCAAAGAGAAAGCATCAAACCTCAAGTTTGAGCATTTCAAGCCTATTTTCATTCAATATTCATTTTGCTTTCAAGAACACTTTTTGTGCTCAATTGTATTCATCTTTGAGTGTTCTTTTCTTTGTTCTAGAATTGTGCAAACATCTTACCTTGTGAGGTTTTCTTGTAAGTTTGCAAATTTGTAATCTTCTCTTTGGGAAAAAGAGTGTTCTCAAGAGTTGGGGTATACTCTTTAGAGAATTGTAAGGTTATCTCTTTGGCCTCAAAAGAAAGAACAAATTAGTGAATTTGTTGGAAAATCCTTAGTGTGGATAGCTAAGGTAGTGGACGTAGACTTTATTTGAGAAAGTCGAACCACTGTAAATCGTTGTGCAATTACTTTCAATTTTCTGCAAAAGCTTCCACAAAAATTTTAATTGCCAATTCACCCCCCTCTTGGCCGATTTCGTCAATCGTTTAACTCAACACCCTCTGAATCTGACCTTCATTTTGTCAGAACATGTTCTGAAGTCCACGAATAGGAGATCAAAAGTGAGGAAGCTGAAATGTCGTAGTCGACATTCACGACTTTTGATATATTTTCGGTGAAACAACAACAAGATTCAGACTCAACGTGTCAAATCATATCTCTCGATACAATTTGGAATCAAAAGGTTACCAATTTCGAAGATCGACGGTGGTCGATGGTGACGAGAAGGGGGCAATGATCATTTTAAATCTTTTTAAATTTAATAATAATAAAATACTATTATTAAATTTATTTTAAATTATTTTTATATTTATTAATATATAAAATGTCACTTCATATTAAAATAATAGTAATAAAATAATTTATAGTGGCCATATTAGTAAATAAAGTTCAAAGAGAAAGAAAAGTTGAATGAGAAAACAAAGTTCAATGAGAAATAATAAAGTTTACCTTTAATGATTTAGAGAATGTAAGTATTAAACCATAAAATTCAAAGAGAAAACAAAGTTCAAAGAGAAAACAAAGTTCAATGAGAAATAATAAAGTTTACCTTTAATGATTTAGAGAATGTAAACATTAAACTATAGTTGTATTGCATAACTATTTTACCGGTACAAATTACAGTTGAAAACTTTTCCGCTTATATAAACGTATAATGAGAATCTCATTGTAGAATTTTCGGCTTATTATCTTTAGTAGTTTTCCTAGGAGATGGACACGGTCTCTCACCCTCACTCGCTCTCAACTTCTTTATATTTTTTGGTATTTTCTTGAAAGATATCAACGAGTTATATCTCTTTAGCTTATAATACATTTTTTTGGTTCATTTTATTAAAGTTTTTATCTTTACTTATTATTGGAAGATGTTATATATTCGATTCTAAGACATTATTTTAGAATATTCAAGTAAGCAATCGAGAAATTTTATTTTATCGCATAATATATTTTTGAGCAAAGAAGATATTTGGATAATTTCTTTTAGGCAATTGGAGATCAAAGAAGATTTCACCATATTAGTGTCCTTCATCCCAATGGACACATCACAAAATTTGTTATTCGAACTTCATATAATAAAACATTAATCAAACCCCGTGAGATCTTTCTTGGAGCTCAAAGCTGTCCAGGAGAATTGTGGCTATAAGAACCAGCGTTGTTTATCAAGGACTTCCTCTTCTTTGGCTTTTAAGACACTCAAACACTGCTTTTTAGTGACTAAGTCAACCTAAATCTTTTAAAGATGTGTTTGACGAAAGTTAAAGAAATTGAAAAAAAAGCAAGTATTCTTTATTTACTTTGGAAAATACTCTATAAAGTTTGTTTCAATAGATGGATGGGTTTCGCAAATGGCCAATACTACCCTTTATATAGCCTTTCATCTCAATGGACGGTGGAGATTAATTTGATCCTGCGGTCTATATTTTATATTTAGAACTTTTTATACAAAACTATAATAACTTAGGTCAGGAAAATTTTTCATACGCTTCTAGAATTTACCATGAACTTCCTTAGTATTCTAGAACTTTCTTCCTAATTCTAAAATCTTCTAAAAATCTTCTATGATTTTACATAATCTTCCATAATATTCTAGATTATTTAAAGCAATCTAGGACATTTCAGAGTATTCTATAACTTTTACTTTCATTGTGTACTAGAATTTTTTTGTTAAATTCTAAAACATTCTACCAATATCTTCAAATTTCTCTTTACTTTGAAAATACAATTGAAGAGATTATTTTGTGACACGTTGGAACGATAAGAAAAGCAAGCTTCCCGTGGAACTCCGTTTCTCGCTGTAAAAGATTAAGCCGATTTCCTTCATGTTATGGTGTGTGAAATGGTGTGAGTGGAGGGTTCCATTATATAGGAAGAATTGATTGCCCAGGCAGGCATGTAGATCATGAGATTTGAATTCTTTACGACTCATGATTAGCAACATATGTGAGTAGTTCGAATTTAATTCGGTTACAATTCAACTAGAATTGACTCGATTCGAGATCTTAATGAGTTGAATCGAGTAAAATTCAGCTCGACTCGATAAGTTTTCAAATAACTCGTTAATATTTTTAATATAATTTTTTAGTAGTTATTTTAAAATTTATTTCATTCCAAAAAATTACTAATTTACTAATATATAATAAAAAGATATAAATTGATAATCCATTAATTTTTCAATAAAAAATAAAAAATTAAATTATTAATTAATATTTTACTACACCCAAAAATCAAATTTTGTTTATTATTTTAATATATTTATTGATTGTTATTTTAGAGTTTAGAATTTGAAATTACTTCATAATTTTTTTGTTAAATTTATTAACTTATGATTATATTAAGCTCTATATAGTATTAGTATATTTTATTTATAGTTAAGAAAAAAAGGTAAAAATTTCAATGAGCTTAATGAGCATCGAGCTTAACGACCAACGAGTCGGGCAAAAAAAATTTTGCAAAAAAATTTCTTAACGAGCACGAGTCGAGTAAAATTTTAACAAGCTTAATGAGCAACGAGTCGAGTCGAATCGAGTAATAAATTGTTTTAACGAGCACGAATCGAGCAATGCTCAACCTCTGTTTTGAAAACCGGACCGGACCGGCCGGTTCAACCGGAAACCGTTGCTTAGTCCGGTTCAATCTAAACCGGTTGAACCGCTATAGTGAACCGGTCAGAACCGCTGAACCGTTCGAACCAGACCGGCTAAAAACCGGAAAAAACGGGGAAAAACCGGGATTTTTGTTTTTTTTTAAAAAATTAAACCAAACAATGTCGTTTGTTAAACGAGCCAAGTCGAACTCGAGTATTGTTGAGCTCGACTCGAACTTGAAAACTTTAAAAGTAAGCTCAACTCAACTCAAACTCACAAGCTAAAAAATTATCAAGTTCAACTCAAACTCGAAATATAATATTGAAACTTGAACTCAAAAAGGCTTGAACTCAAAAAAAAATTAGAAGCTCGATTGAAGCCTAAAATTCGAGCTTGATTGAAGTGAAAGAATAGTTCACTCAATGCTCATCAAAAGGCTCCATGATTTTGAATGTCAAATTACCTCTATTATTTATAGAAGTTAGTTGTGATGCGCTTCTAAGTTTCTTAGCAATGTGAGATTGTTTTGTTCTCATATTTTTTCTCTTTAGACTTTTGGGATGCTCTTATATGTTTTTTAGCCATGTAGGATTGTTTTTTTAAAAAAAATTAAACCAAACAATATCATTTTGTTATGATTTTTTTAACCCCAAATTTATTTTTTAATTATAGTTATATAATTATATTTATTATTTAATATGTTTTACCTTAAATATTATGTTGTAGTTAATTTGAATCATTTTGTTTCAGTTGATTTTATGGTTTTTAACTTATATATGTTATGACTTGCTTTGAATATGACTTGTGATATAAAAAATTATTTTTTATTAAATATTTTTTGTTATTTTTATTTAATTTTTTAAATAAGTATGACGTTGTCCGGTTCTTCTGACCGGTCGGACCGGTTCGACCGATTGAACCAGTGAACCGGTAGTATGACCGGTTCGCTAACCGGTCCGGTTCTAAAAACCATGTGCTCAACTCACGATCGACTCGCTCGATAAACATCCCTTGTTACGAACATCATGAAAAGATCCTTTCAAATATCTTTTATTTAAGTATGCTTTTAAGAATACATAGATGTAAGTTCAGGATATATATATATATATATATATATATATATATATATATATATATATCAAGGTAATTGTTTTTTAATTAAAATCTCCAAGTCATCATATCAGTGAATACTTTCTCCCGGTGAAGGCTTGAGTTGGCTCTTTCCTTTTGCTGCGGTCTTGACTGTTCCTCATGGCAACCTACAGAAAGAGTTCCGAAGATACTTTAAAAATACGTACAATTTGAATGAGATATGTAACTTCCTACTATTAAACTAGTACATCATAAGACACCTTTTCTGTTTCATTTTGGGGCCAATTTCCATTCGAACCGAATACGAGCTTCCAAGCACGTTGACTTGAAGTAGAGCTTGATGATTTGGAAGCAACAGTTTCACTACCAACATCGGAATGGTAATGTTTAAGCAACGGAGCAGCTGGTTTACCGTCCAATCGCCTTGCTGAACCACTGAAAGGGATGCGCTTTCTCGACGGCTCTTCTTCAACTGAAATATTCAGTGGTCATTTTTTGCATGCAATCATAAAAGTAGATTCAACAGTCAAATTTAACCATGCCATTGTTTTTTTTCTCCTAGAAACTAATAAACAAAGAGAATACTTGCCTTTAAGCTTCTTGTTTGATTGCAATGGAGGAGACGGCTTTTCAATTTCTTTATAATCAAGAGGAGCAAAGTCCACTTTGCAATCAGTTTCAATTATACTGACTACAGGGTAGGGTTTTGTTTCAACTATATTGATATAGTAATTCTTATTGTTGTAGGGGATCATGATCGTGTCGCCGACGGTTAAGCAAGAGTAGTTCCTCAGTGTAGTTTTCAAGCTGCAAACAAACATAGAAGAAAAGGAATTTAAGAAAACGAATGCGGATTGTAGAATTTCGATATTTTTTATAAGACATTGCCAAGATGATCGCTAACATTGCTTTGGGGTTGGACATATCCAAGAAGTCCGTAGTATGCGGTTGCAGCTTGACATAGGTTGCATTTGCTAAGCTAGCACTTTTCACCTGCACAATATCTCCCTCTTCAAGATGCATGTTCTGCATCATCTGAAAACAAAATTGCAGGAAAAAGGAAAGCAACACAAAGTCAAACAAAAAACCGTCTCGAAATCACGATGTCGAAAGCATTAAAGAAAAATTAAAACCATACCCAGTACGGTAAGTAGATCAAGCCCTCATCTGCAACAAATTCTAGAACCCCACAGTGAGAAACTCGGCCCGCGGAAGCATTAGTCAACTCGAACAACATCGGGTACTCGATGCCCATGTATGCTGGAAAGCAAGAGTGTTGTTGATATTAGGATTAAACTACGTTTTCACTCATTAACAGAGTTACAAAGAACGAAGTCCGAGTACACTTACTGAGACGATCAAGAGCAGAGGCAGGCATAAGAACTGCAAATAACAAGCAATCATGATATATAATCAATTTCCATGAAAACAAAACTTAGAAAAGGAGATCACAACGATGGTGAAAGATCAACAAACCTTTATCTCCTTTCTCTAGATGTGCCTGCAGAGATCTAAATGTATCAGAATCAAAGTGGAATGAAAACTTAGGGAACAAGAAAGGACCCTTTTTTCCCCCAAAAAGTATCCTTTGTTCAAAGATTAACCCTCTAACCTTATCAATGAAAGAGAGAGAGTAACATCGATAATGCTGTTTGTCGTAACCGTTTTTCGTCAGGGCACGAATTTTTTATTTGGCGGGAAAAGTTATGTGAATAAATGGTTTTTAAAATAATTTGGGAGTCGCCATCGGCCTTTTGGGTCAGGTAGGTCGAATACCTAAAAAAATTATCTTTTAAAAGAGTTTTTAAGAAAACATCAGTTAAAAGATAAACTGATCTGCGTTTTAACCAAAAATTCATTCTTTTTAGAAATAAAAAAGGATTCGTGGTCGGTTACGTTTAGGAAAGGATTAACAACCCTACAACGCCCAACATTGGTACTTTTTTAATTATAAATTGTCTCTATTATTAGAAATTTAAAAATTCAAAATATATTTAATTTATAATCCTATTTAAGTCAAATATTTTTAAGAAAATATATTAAACATAAATAAGATATTTACTTATTTAGAAATATAAGAAAAGGACTTCTAGGTGCCTTAAGACAGCTCTTTTCTTTGATATTAATAAATATTATAATAATTTAAATAAAATAAAATTATAATTTTTTATCATAATATTTAATTTTAAAATACCAGAATAGGACATCCAGTTGTATTAAGACTGCCCTTTTCTTTGATATTGAAAAATAAATATATATTAAAATATGATAAAAACATAATTTATGTAAAATCAAATTAAGATTTAATATAAATTATTATTTATTATATATATTTATATGACTATATAATAAAAATAATATTTAAATATAAACAAGTAAAATTAAAACATAAATAAACAATAATAAAAATAAAATTAGAACTATATATTTAAAAGCAGTAAAACTTTATAATAAATGAAAATATTTAAAATTAGTGACTAAATTATAATCTAATAAAATTAAATACCTAATTCGTAATTAATTATTTAAAATTACAGGGATTAAACATGCTATTTTTCCTTATTTATTAATTTGGTGACTAAAATAAAATTATATAAAATTCATATATCAAATTAAAAAAATGTACTCGGGATTAAAATATCAATTATTAAAATTAAAGGACTAAATATGATATTTATCCTAAATATATTATTTTAAAATAAAGGACTAAAATAAATAAAATTAAAATTAAAGAACCGAATTAAAATGATTATAAATTGATTTAGTGACTAAAATGTAAGGATTACAAATTAAGATGGTTGCGGAAAGGGTTTAACCTTTAGTTAATTACAGACAGATCCCTCCCCAAAACGGCGTCGTTTGGGGAGGGCTATTTAACCCCTTAACTGACTGGCCCGAAGGGCCAGCTCTCATTTCTTCCTTTCTCTTCTCTCTCAAACAGAGAGAGAGAGCCAGAGTTTGCTCTGGCTTCTCTCTAAAATGAGAGAAAGCCGTCCCGGTCAGCCACCACTGCCGGGCTCCGACCATCGCTACCGGCCACCGTTAATGGTGGCCGGAAATTACAAAAATACACCAAAATATAGATCGGGACGATCTAAAACCGTTTCCGGTGTTCTTTTTCCTTAAAAAGCTCCCAATCGGAGCAAATCTACGAAAGTACCTTCGGGTTTTGGTTGTTTTCGGCAACGTTTGGTATCTCGAGGGTAAGTTCTTCTCTTCTCTGTTTTTATTTTTGATTGTTGATGCTTGATGTGTTCTCGTTGCTTTTCTTACGTAGTTGTTTGGGATCGTTGGTGTAGTTCTTGCTTTTGTTTTTCTCCTCCCTCCTCCTTTGTGGCTGTGTTTTTTTCTCGCAGGTGTAGTGGTGGCTTTATAGCCTTGATGAGACTGTCGTCGGACCGGTCCCGAGAGGGAAGCTTTGGTGAGTCACCGAACTATGTGGTGACTCACCCCATAGCTGCGACGTGGACGGTCAGAGTCGTGGCAGCAGAGCTTCTGGAATGTTCGTCGGAGGCGTCATGGCAGTACTGAAGCGTCGGCAACGGCGGGATGAGACACCTGGAAGAGGTGGCGCCACGTGGTCCCTAGGGTTATGATACCCTAGGGTTTCAAGCTGGAAGCATTTGGAGACCGTTGGATCAAGGCCAGATCCAACGGTGGTGAGCTAAGGCGGCTGGGAGAAGATTCTGAAAACCCTAGAAGGGTTTTGGGTCATGTTTGGGCCTGGATGTAACCGGGTTGTAAATGGGCTTTGTAATATTTAATAAATAATATATAATAATAATAATAATAATAATAATAATTTTAATTTTAATAATAATAATAAACTTAAATGAAAATTTTGATGTCTACAGCTGCCCCTCTTTGCTTATCCTTATGTTAACAAGAATAGAGCAAAGACGAAAAAGACAATAATTTTTTCATTTGGCTTCTTTTGAGAGGATGGAAATGTTTGAAAACATCATGCACTGAAGGGCTTACAGATGACCCGAAGGTTTTGAAAACATCATGCACTGAAGGACTTACAGATGACCCGAAGGTTTTTGAAAACATCATGCACTGAAGGACTTACAGATGACCCTAAGGCTTTGAAAACATCAAAAAGCTCCCGAAGGCTTTTTGGAAACATCATGCACTGTAGGACTTACAGATGACCCTAAGGCTTTGAAAACATCAAAAAGCTCTTGAAGGCTTTTTGAAAACATCTTGCACTGCAGGGCTTACAGATGACCCGAAGGTTTTGAAAATATCAAAAAGCTCCCGAAGGCTTTTTGAAAACATCATGCACTGAAGGGCTTACAGATGACCCGAAGGCTTTGAAAACATCAAAAAGCTCCTGAAGGCTTTTTGAAAACATCATGCACTGAAGGGATCACAGATGACCCGAAGGCTTTGAAAACATCAAAAAGTTCCCGAAGGCTTTTTGAAAACATCATGCACTGAAGGGCTTACAGATGACCCGAAGGCTTTGAAAACATCATGCACTGAAGGGCTTACAGATAACCCGAAGGCTTTGAAAACGTCAAAAAGCTCCCGAAGGCTTTTTGAAAACATCATGCACTGAAGGGCTTACAGATGTGAGAAATAGTTTACTAAGTAAGAAACTATGAAAATCGTTTTCTTACTTTTCAACAATTTCATTTTTAGAAAAGATTGAATGAGAAACTATAGAAATCGTTTTCTCATTATTATTTTTTTTTGAAACAACATGTTGATTGGGTAACATGCCCCAATCTCAAGATAATGCTCATTTTTGTGGATTACATCCATCTATTCTTCAGATGTTTGCGTGATTCCTGTATTTGTGGTTTTGAATACCTTCTTCTTGTAAGGTATTTCTTACCATGAATCTTCTTGTTCTTCTGAAGATCTGTAAAACTTCATGTTTGAATGCACTCAGATGTATCAATGTAATGCATTGTCTATTGTGCAAATGATGTTCTTATGAATGCATGAATGTTGATGCAATCTTCATTTGACTTCAAAGTGGTGAACTTGGTCTTCATTCACTTCATCATTTATTGCCAGGGTTACCTCTAGATATAAGTGTAGAAACTTATGATATCAAGCTTGCATTTCTGCAGAATCATCTGATCAACTTGTATCTTGGCGTCTTCTTTGTTTCATGAAAGTTTCAGAAGAAATGTTTCATTTGTGGAACTCTTGCTGTAGTCAAAATTATGACCCTGATGCCCCAATTTGTCTTGCATAAAACCAACTTTATTTGCTTGGACTTGTGTATAAATCCCATAAAGCTTTCATCTTTAAAAAGAGAATCTATCATCTTTGAAGAGTGTAGATGTAGATATGCCTGACTCAGCAGGGATTAATTAGGAGAGTAGAGTCTGTTCTAATTTGACTCTTTGAAACACATTACAAGGAAGATTTATCCCAATTTCTTTCATGTATCCATATATAATCAGATCTTGAATAAGGCAACTTGGACCGTATCATGTCGAGATGTTTAACAACAACCTGTCGTTCAACCTAATTTCTTGTTGTTAAAATTTCAGCTCTCCTTCTGCGGAAAGAAATCTTCATCATATCTCAACTTATAATCTTGAAGTTGAAGAAGACAAACTTCATCTTGGATCAAAAATGGAAACCATATGATCACAACATTGGTTCAACATCAGAATAACTAGTTCGTAAAACATTTTGACAATACATTCTTCATCTCATGTGGTTTCAGCTCAAATGTTCGTAAAGCATTTGACAACACGTTCATCATTGTTTATGGCTTATGCCAAGATTTCTCAATCATTGAATCTCTTTGCATGGTGTTCAAAGTTTTTGTATGATGCCACAAGACCATTTGAGAACAAAACTCAATGGGGATTCAAGTGTGATGTTGGTATGACCAAAAAATTGGTTAAATTCACAAGATATGCTGGTGTCGAATTGAATAGAAGACACTAATTACTCTTGATATCATCTCGGGCAAGGGCAAATGTAATACTGATCACGTTTTCTTCTGTAATGAGCATTGTAGAAAGTAGAAACACTTCAGCTATAGGATCCATGTACAGAAAGATATCCGTATAATTCTTGCTTATTGGGATGAAACGCAAATGATAAAACCCAAAATAGATGAAAACTCAATTCATCTTGGCTAGCAATGATGATCCCAATAACAACGGGAATAACAGTAATATAAGTGAGAATCGAGTCTCCCTTTTCAATATCATCAAGTAAGCAAAAACTGATGTGAAAAATAGCTTCATAATCTCAACTTTATGGTTGAAACTAACTGCCAGGAATCTCAAAGAAATATTTCCAATCATCACCGACACACAGAATGCAAAATTCAAAGCTGAGATCTTGAGGAATTGAACCCTAGATCGAGTAGTCTACCTGGGGGCCATCTTTATTCATGCAACCGTGATGTAGCTTAACAAAGAACATGATATCATGTGAAACACGGTTAAGAAGATTGGGTATTTGAAAACATTCTTGCTGAGTAGATATTTGTTCAACAACATGATCATAATGTAACTGCCTGATGAACGAAACAATTATGTATAGTCAACTTGACTGTTATTGTTTCACCATTTTCATTCTTCATATTTTTCTGTCTCATTGGAAATATTTGCTCAAATCAATGATTTTTAACACATGATGATGTGGGCCTTCAGCATGCCCCAACAT